TGAGGTGCGAATGACAATAAAGAAACTCTGACTCTGACATGACGCACAGTTGGCTGACTGATGGATGAGCCACACGAGCAGCATGGATTGTTTATTTAAAATACATTTTAAATGATTTAGCACCTGCTAAATCATTTAAAATACATTTTAAATGATTTAGCACCTGCTAAATCATTAGGTGCAGGAAGAAGCGCCCTCTGCCACGCCCACATTTCTCTTCCATGCAGAAGCAGCTTTGAAAAGGGTTAATCCTTCGCTGTCCAGCTGCACCGATCGACTTTTGTCTTAAAATTTAAAGTATGTCACATCACAAAATTGTCATAATCACAAAATATAGGGGAAGTCTGAGATTGTTATTACATTATTATTATATGTTCCCATACAATGGCGAAATTAGTTATCTGCATTTAACCCATCACACCTGAGATACACCCAGGTGGAGCAGTGGGCAGCTATGTAAGCACCCAGGGATACAAGTGTTAAAAGTTATTTTTAATTATTTTAGAACGTCTATGTTCAGTTGTTACAGTGATCAAGAAGAACAGTTCTGCTCTGCATCTGCTGCGTGAAGGGTTAACTCTTTGATGTCCTGCTGCGCTTCTCAATTCAAAAGTAAATGCTGGAATATTTTAAAGAAACAATCCATGCTGCAAGGATTGTCCATCAGTCCAAAGTGATTTAATATGTTTTGAGCACTATTAGACGGTCTTAAAACTGCAGATTGAGTTTGTGCTGATGTGATCTGCTGCTCTACATCCAACCAGAAATACGAGCTTTCCTGCTCAGAAACATCCTGTAACTTAAAACTTGCTCATGATGCAAAGAAAACAAAGCTCTAACACACATTGCTGCAGCAGGATGAAGGCAGTGTTTGAAATTCGTTTTTCGTGCTCTGCACTCTGCTGGAGGCGTTTTAAAGAGGCATTTTATTGTTATCATTTAAAAATGAAATAGAAATGTTAGTGCTCTGAAAGACTTGACCAAAAATATAAGTGAACATGAACTGAAACAACATTAAAGACGACTCAACCAGTCAGTTTAGAGACTCCTCAGTCTGAAGATTCATTCGGACCAGCAAGGTTCTGTTGGTCATCCAGCTCCAGCTATTCATTTGTTATTTAAGGATTCTGATTTTAACTTTATGGATATTGGCTGGTGGTATGAAATACTACCTTCATTTTCTTTCATTTACCTCAGTTATTGAAAACACTGAAATGTAAACTTGTAAAAATCAGGTAAACTTTGCTCATATGAGGAACAGTTCTTAAAGCAATGCTTTAATGTTTCATCTTATCTGGGATGTTTAACAAACTGAACCAGTTCATTACAACTCTATCAGATTGTTCACAAAAGATGAACTGAGCTTGTTCTAGAGCAGAATGTGAGTAAAATGAGTCATTTAAAGTTGATCAACCTGACAGTGGTGTACCTCAGGGATCTTTCCTCAACAGAAATAAGAACAAAAAAAAAAATCTGTTCTTGCTTATATTGTTAAAAATTATTTTAAACTTCAAACAACTTTAGACACAAACCCCCCCCCCCCCCCCTTTCTGGGAATAATGATACATCTACAGAAAACTGGGTTTAAAAATAACAACAAAAAACCTATAAACAACTAGTTTAAAAAGCTAGTTTGAGCCAGAAGGTCATTTGAGGCTTCATCCTTAGTTTCTTTCAGCTTCTTTTAAGCAGTTCTGTACTCAAAACTTTATGACTGGAAAAATATTAGTATAGAAATAAACATTTCAAGTTGTCTTTCGTTTAAAATAATTTCATATTTCATTATTAATCTTCTTAAAACACATACCAATCAATCATTTAAAACACGACACCACTAGTTTATAGTTTTATATCAATAAAGCTAATAAAGAGTTTTAGAATGAAATTAAATCTGTTCCGTCTTCAGCGAAGTTTGGTTTTGTGAATTTCCTGATGTTAAGTTTACACCAGCTTAGCATGGAGCTAACTAGCTGTTAGCATTGACCAGCGATACTCACCGATAATCATCGTATCATCCGGGATTTCCTCTATGAAACATTTCTTCTCCGTCTCTCCGATGTGAAAGTACAATGAGGACACGCAGCTGAAGAAAACATTCAGCAAGAAAAGTGAAAACACGACCGACTGCTGCATCCTGAACCTTACCGACACCATCTTCCTGCCAAGAGAGAAAACCAACTGCGCCTGCGCACCAACAGCAGTGCCACGTAAACCCTCGTGCATCTCCAGCCAATCAGCGCGCTGCGCAGGACTGCCGGGTGTTGTAGTTTTTATTTATTTAGGCCATGAACTTTGTTGTAAAGTCTTGTCTTTCCTGGTGGTAACAACGGGATTGCAACCGTAACAAGAAGTTTAGAAGCAATTTTATTATTATACAGCTCAAAGTGTCATGATAATAAACGTGGATTTATTAATAATATTATTAAATATTAAATCAAACTGCACATGTAGTTAAATAACCAAAAACATGCATGTTTTTTTTAGGCTGCCTTCACGCACAGGCCTCCCTTGCAAAAGGGATCCGTGATCTCAGTGGGATTTGCCTGGTTAAATAAAGGTTAATAATAGTATTATTATTAAGCTGGAAAAAAAGGATCTATTGGTTTCAAAAGTTAATAAATTTATTTAATTTTAGTTATGAAGTCCCTAATTTTCACAAGTAATAATGCACATGATTTTCTAAGCAAATAAACCAAATATTGCTGGCTTAAGTTTTAACATTTCAATTAGTAAATGATGGATAATAGAGCCCCATATGGTAAATGCAAGAAGAAAATACAACTTTCCAGAAAAACAGTACATCACTCTTATTTTCCTCACTCCTGCAAGAACAAGTTGAAAGAAGCAGAACACTCCTGACACTTCAAAACTTCAGACAAATTTGTTTATTAACCTTTATTTAACCAGGCAAATCCCATTGAGATCACAGATCTCTTTTGCAAGGCGGCCTGAAGGCAGCCTAACAGCCTAACATGCATGTTTTTGGTCTGTGGGAGGAGTACCTGGAGAAAACCCACGCAAGCACAAGAAGAACATGCAAACTCCACCCAGAAAGACGTCAGGTTAAACCGGGGATTGGATCCAGAACCTTCTTGCTGTGAGGCAACAGTGCTAATCACTGATCCATCATGCTGCCTGTAACTTTTAAGAAAGAAAAGCATATTAATGATTGAAGTTTGTTTCATTTGATTATGACATGCTTAAAACATGATGTATGTTGATTTTTATTTGCAATTATTATTATGAAATCACGTAAAATGTTATAATTTGTTTCACGTATAATCTCTGCTTTGCTTTCAGAAAGAACTCAGTTTAAGACTCGCCACAACTCAAAACATTTCTGGGGGACAGAAAGGAATTTTGAAGCGTCTGGAAATTCCTGCCCTGTCCTTGGAACTGGTCACACAAAGCTGCAGTTCTGTGCGACGCGTTGAGTTAATCTGTTTTCCCCATCCTGATGTGTTCGCCTGATGTACGACTCGTTTACTCCTGAAGAAAGCAAACAAGTTTTGCTCAATAACAATTTTAGTTAAAGCCAAGTAGAACATTATACAAGATTTAAAAAAAGTCCACTGCAAAGCTTGCTTCACAGCTCTGACACAAGCTTGGGAGTGCTTTCCGTGCATTGAAGAAGTCAGACCTGTTTCAGCTCTGCCGCCCTAAGCTTCATCATATTACCTTCTGGACAAGCTGTTGATTTCAACTGACCCTCGGTTGACTCAGCGTCCCAGCCCTTTCAGTGTTGAACAGCTATTCGTTCAACAACTGTTTTTTAACCTATATCTGTAGTTATTGTCCAAATTCTTATTTGTTATTGTTATTATTGTGGTTCAAATTCTATTTTTGATTAATTATTTTTTAAATAAAACGTCAAAGACAAATTCAGTCTCCTCATTTGGATGAATATTCATTTATTTTGGTATATAATTCACTGTAGTTAATGGATTTTACTTCAGTGACTGAATTCTGATTATTAAAGGGTGAAAGTTTCTTATTTTATTTTTTTAATCCATCCAGATGACCTGACTTAACATTTTTAGATTTTATACCTGGATTATGAAGAATGCCTCAGGATATAGACTTTTATTTTGAGCTTGGCATTAAAGATAAATAGGCTATACAGTATTCAGTCAGTGCTTGACAAAATGCCCAGATTTCTCACCAGTCAGTGATATTTGGGTCTCACAAATGTAAACAGTTAAAAATTCTCCCTCAAAACATCCAAATACATTGAAACATTAGTATAAGATATGATGGTATAAGCTAAATATGCAAAAAATACACTAAATGTAGAAAGTAGTACATTTCAAGTTTATTTTTGCAAGTATACTTTATGTTAAGTATATCAAGTATACTACACACCATACTTGCAGTGTACTAGAAGTACACTGATTTTATACTTGTTTGGACTAAATTGTGACATTTTTATACAATTTTTAAGTATATCAAATAAAGTTTATAAAAAGTAAACTTCATGTACACTTCCTCATTTTTAGTGTAAAATAAGTATACTTGTAATATATTTAAATAAACTACTTTTTGATAAGAGAATGGATCAGAAAAAAAAAACCACAACAAAAAACAAAAACAAAACAGAAAAACAGAAGCTTCTCATTGACTTTTATTGTTAAAAAAATGTAAAATCTGAAGTTAAAAATCCTGAATATAGAAAACAAATCGCTGTGGGGTGCAGCTATGAAGCATAGACACGGACACCAAAAACAAAACATCACACTAGTGTTCATGCCTTCAGCGAGGCCACAGTGAAACACATAATGTGACACACGTCTTTATCATAAACACCGTTTTTATTAGGGGAAATTAACATGGAACCACAGGAACTGGCACGATCAAGAACACAATATTCCTGGATTGTTGAGCATGCATCAGGATATTCCTGAGGACAACTTTCTTAAAGTAAACATTATTTGCAACATAAGAAAGAAAGAAAGAAAGAAAGAACTGTCAGTGTGAATCGAGCAACAATCTTCCTCTCCAATATGGCGACATTTGTGACGTACGACGCTTCCCTGTACGTAAAATTTAGGCGCTCGTCCTTGTTGTTTCCACAGCAACCGAAGAGATTCAAACATGGCGCCCGGTGAGTTTCACGCTGTTGTTTATTCCAGTTAAAACGGTTTATAACGCGTCGGTAGCGCCGCTTTTTGAACCGGAATAGCTTCAATGTTTAAAAGAGGTTTTGTAAAATAAGATCGAGGGAAGAAAATGTGGTTTTAGCTTCTCTTCCGTTACTTAGCTACATGCTAACATCCGTTTTCTAATCATAAAAACTGGATAAATAACATCTGAGCTCTTCAAGTGGTTATATGACTTGAATAAATATTATAACGGTTCAATAAGTATCCTATATTGTCTTACAGAAAAGCTATAATGTTTATTGTACATAAAAATACATATCCTACAATCGACACATTTATTGTTTAATGAATAATATTTAGAAGTTTTTTCTTTTTTTCACTTTTTCTCCCCAAGCAACCAGACATAAGCCTTGGCATCATTTAAAGCTTCTTGAAAAACGCACACTGATGTTTATTCTGGTTTGTCAGGTGACCTTTTAGGATTAATGAACATAAATTGTTTGCTTCCGGTTTGTCTGCAGTGAACCAGCCAATCGTATCCTTCATATGACGCTGACACAAACCTGCTGCTCCTGGTTTGAGTTCTGCTCTGGTCCTTGACGTCTCTTCTCCAGCTCTCATCGGCTCCGCTGCAGGTGCTCTTCTACCTGAACAGCTGGTACTTTGCAGCCTTCTACCTGGCAGAGGTCCTCATTTTCATCTATAAAGGTCTGCCGCATGCTTAAAAAAGTTACATCAGCTAAAAGCTATCAGCATTTTACTACTTTACTTTCAGGTTAACGTCAAAAACAAGACTCATCTAAATATTCAAATAACTGTCTCAACTGTTTATTAGTTTAATAATTTGTTTTGTTAGTTCAAACGGGTATTAATTTATTTACGTGTTGGTTTGATAAATAGAAATCTGCATTGGCCATAAATAGGAAAAGTACCCACAACTCAGTGATAAATAATAACAATCTTGTCTGAAATTCTCCACATAATTAAACTTTTTAACTGTCCACGTTTTCTTCAGCAGATGATGTAATGCTGTAGTTTGAACAAAAACAAACGATTTATTCAACGAGACGAATTCAAGACTTTTTCTCATTTTAATCAATAAATGTAAACTTTGGTTTGTCTCGTCTTTGTTGTAGGGATTTTACTGCCGTACCCATCAGATAATCTGGTTCTGGACGTGGTTCTACTGCTGCTCTTCCTGGCTCTGGAGACCCTGAGGATCTTTTATGGTATTTAACAACAACTGGGAACAGGAGCGTTAACGTTTGTGAACATTTACCCTCTTTAGTTTCTCCATCCAGTCGTAGGTATCTCTTCTTCCACTCAGTGCGTTGCTGTTGTAGGACCGATGGTTTCCTCTCAGAGGTCAGAGATCACACACCCAAACTCTCATTGACTTCCACTGTATCAGAGTTAAAGGCTCTTTTTACTTGCCATCTCCTCCATTAAACCCTGTGGAACCATCAAACAGAACCTCCTGCTGCTCACAGGTCCAGACATTATTTGATCCAACTTATTTTTTCATTTACCCTTTATTTATCCAGGTAGTCTCATTGAGCCACGAGAACTCATTTTCAAGAGAGACCTGTTTAGGGAGTAGATGGGGATAAAGGGGGCCCAGAGTGGGGCGAATATTTTTGATGTTGTCGATACCGGGGCGTGAACCGGCGATCTTCCGATCACCGGCCCGCCTCTCTAACCTCTGCGCCACCACTCCCCAACAGCTTATAGTTTTTACATGGACGCTGTCTTTTTACTCAGTTTTCTTCTTAAACTTTTTATAATTCAGTAAAGCAAGAAAAGTTCAACAGATTTTAAATCGAGTCTGAAACCAGCAGCACACAGACCAAATTTATGGTTTATTAATTTGTGTATACAAATATTAAGCAGCAGTTTGTAAAGTATATAAAAAAAATAAAATAAAAACCTCATGTATATAAATACACGTACATCAGGCAAAGTATGAAATATAAAAAGTGCTTGTTTTGTAAACAAAACATCAAAATGTGTTACGTGTTAATAGGGCATTCATGCTGTAATTTTAATAAAAAACTTTTCCCCAAACGTACCAGAAAAGAGCCAAGTGGTCCGACAATCACCCCCGCCCACCACATAAAGACATTTACAAACTGAAAAGACCAGATACAGAAATGTGTGCAACTTTCACATATAGGCATCTGGTCCCAGGTGTTAAAAAAATAAAAATAAAGCACTAGATAAGGTGCTGGAGTTACCTGCAGGAGTCTGAGGAGAAAATGTGCGACTGGGTTTTTAAAGGTGGTACCAAGAATTCTCAATTGTTGCTGACAGGACCCTAACGTTGAGTCTGTTTTGGGTCAGACTCAGTTCTGGATGAAAGGAGGAAGGTTGGAAATGTGACAAGAAAAAAAACAAACAAAAAACAAGAATCAACAGAAGCAAGTTCATTTAGTTCTAAACACATTTAGTTTTTTACATTATTGCTTTCTCCCATAGCGTCTTTACGTTAACATGGTCACACATGTCATTCACTTTCAAATTCATTTTAAAATCCTTCTGTATGTTTTCAAATCTCTCAACAGTCCTGCCCCCTCCCATCTCACTGATCTGCTGCAGCCATATGTCCCACAGTGCTCTCTGAGATCAGCAGATCAGATGCTTTTATTGGTTCCAGGAGCTCCTCTTAAGCTCAGAGGTGACGGGGCTTTCTCTGTTGCAGGTCCCAAACTGTGGAATGAGTTACCACTGTATTCCAGACGGGAATTTTCTTTTCTGCTGCCTGAGGGACAGAATAAAACTGGGCTGGACTGAGGAGCAGAGGTTTATAGTGCTGAATAATGAGCTCTGAGCAGACAGTTTACCTGGAGTTTCCTTTAGCTTTAGCTGCCCCATCCTTGTTAAAAACATTTCCCTTCATGAGAACAGAGGCAGGTTCGTTTTGTTTAAAGAACCGGAAACTAGGCCTGCCGCGATAACAAATCAAGCTATATTATTGAAATGATTGCAATAAACGATAATATTGTTTGAAATTTGACATTAATTAGTAATGTCAAATTTAAGAAATGTTGGTTGATTTTTGTGTGAAGTGCCTTTTTTGACCCCTAGATGGCAGTATAAGACTGTTTGAACCGAAGGATGGATAGTGAGGGAGCGAGCAGCGTGTCTCTTTAAGAAAACTGGGAGTTAAAACAGATTTTAAAGAGAAAGGGAGGGGTCAGTGAAGAGCAACGGGGTTGAGCCCTTTGTCATCCAGTGTCCAGTAGAAAGAGAGAGACACGAAGAAACGATAAAGCCGATAAATGAAATTTTTCATTTATCATGCGATTAATTGATTTATCGTTTACTGCGACAGGCCTACAGGAAACACCAGTTCTTTTCTCTGTGTTTTCCATTCAGGCTGGAAGGGGAACCTGTGCGAGCGCTCTCTGTCGTCCTTCTTGTCCCTCTTCATCCTGTTTCCCTGCGCAGCGCTGGCTGTTTACTACCTGCTGCTGCAGACCTTCGTCCTGCGGCTCGAGGTCCTCCTCAGCGCCGTCCTGCTCTGCTTCTACGGCCTGGAGTTTCTGCTCGGAGTCATCTCCATATCTGCCTTCTCCAGGTACCCGTCAGCTCCAGTCTTGGGGGGGGGGGGGGATCTTTGTTTTTGATTCATTTTCAGTTTGGCCTCCTTTTGTTTCTCCTCTGCAGGTCTCGAGTTTACTGAGGAACCAGTCACCTGACACACATCACAGCACACATTAGCAGCTTTCAGGAAACAAATGCCACCATTTTATAAAGGAAGATATTTGTGATCTAGTTTTTTTTATTTTTTTTTACTGTAAGTGTATGAACCCTGATATCTGGGTATGTTTTTGTAAATAAATTCTGAACTTTGTAAATAAGACTCAAAGTGGAATAAATCAATCCGCTTCTTATCCAGACTAAATAATCTTCAGATTAAACGCTCTTCATCGTGTCGGGACGTTACCAGGCGCTGGTGAAGCTGACGACAAAAACCACCACGTAGACAGCGCGGATGATGGGCCACCAGAAGATACACATGTTGGTGTTGTAGTTCAAGTTGTAGAAGTCTTCCTCCAGCCTCTGTGAACACGTGAAGGGGGGGGGTTAAAAGACGGTTATAGCCTGGTTTCAGGTGTACCGCCCTTCTCCACTGACCCTCAGGTAGTCCAGTTCCTTCTGGATATGTTGGACGTGATCCAGCAGCTGTCTGACTCTGAGCTGCAGTTTTTTCAGGCCGTTCAGACTCTGGATCCGTGTGTTGCTGTCGGTGCGACCAGCTGATCTGACGTCCATGTGAATCGCCTGAAACCCAACAACAAGAACTATAAGAGGCTCGCTCGTCTCCCAGCTTCACTGAACAGGTAAAAATGTAATGTTTACTACTGATGTCGTATCGTCAGATTAACCAGCAGCGTTTCTCAGGAGTCACACGCACACATTAGTTTGGTATAATTATGATTTTTTTTGTCATTTTATCACTTTTGTCATATTTCAAGTTATTTTAGTGACTTTTGGGTTTATATATATTTTTTTACCAAAACGGTCCACACACTTGTTCGTGTTGGTATTTGGTTTTATCGGTTTGCTTTTGCCTGCCCTGTAACTACTTTAAATATACTCAAGTTTTGGCGTAAAGTTTCCATCGAGCGACATCTTTGTGTGTTTTGTTGTTTCGTTAAATTTTTTTTAGCCTGCTGCCGGTCTCAGTCCAGACACTTTTGTAAAAAACAAAAACAAAAAAGGATTTAAATGTTTGGACTTTTCTTTCCTTGGTTAAACTAAATTAAACCAAGGTTTCCTCTCACCAACACGCGCCTCGCAGACTGGGAGGGTTGTGAGGAGTTCGGCTGAAGACAGAGCCGGTGCTCCCCCGAGTCGGACGATGTGAAGCTGAACGTTCCGTTGGATCCCTCCTGCTGGGACAGAATCAGCTGGAAGAGACACGGGGACAACGGATGGAATATTTTACTTCAGACCCGGTTCCAAAATAAATCCTGGGATTATGAGCCCCCCACCCACCCCATTAACAAGATTTCATGTGTGGAACAGTTCAGGCTTCACGTGGAACCAAACTGGAGCAGAACAGATGTAATATTTTGGTTTTCAAACCTGATTATTAGGATCTGTGGCTGTAACGGACACGAAGAGGTCCCCAGGGGCTGGCAGATACTCGTCCTTCTGTTCGTCAAACAGCCGAGTCCAAAAATCCCCTGCAGAGACAGAAACGAGACGATTCAACGTGGAGCGGCCGACAACTGAGCTGCTGATGAATTAGTTTTTTAAAAGTTTAAAACAGCCAGAGAGTTGGCCCAGGGCACCAAACAGGCCACGACCGCCTCTGATTAGACTCTAAAAACAACTTTGAACATGATTAATGTTAATATTAATGCATTTTGTTTCAAATCACATTAAACTTTCAGTCATAAATATGTAAAAAACAAACAAAACGTTCAGGAAGTTTATGAAAGTGTTTTTATTTAGCTTCAAATTCAGTACTTGATTAACCTATCTTTATTCATTTTTATCATATGTTAAAAACAAACAAACACTTTAATTAAAAAACCACTATAGCTTTATTTTACAAAGTGAAGCGCAAAAGTTTTAAAAGTTATAAACTCAGTATATTTCTTTATATTTTTTCCAAGCAGGTATCTGTTATTTCTACAGATCAAACTTTGTTTTTTAACAGATTGTTTTGAACTTTTTTATTTATTTATTTATTTTTTTACGGAAGTTTACATTAGCTTCTTTCCAGGTCGTTGAACTTTCCCGCCGCTTGTTTTGGGATAAACTCACCGACAAGTTTCGTTTTTTCTGGGATTTCTTGGATAAAACATCTTTGTTCGCGTTCAGCGACGTGAAGGAACAGAGAAGAGACCGAACCAAGGCAGAAAACCAGTGGACAAACGGCCAAAGCGCGTCTCTGCAGCCCGCTGCGCCCCATAGCTGAGCTTCTACTGAGCATGCGCACCAGCAGCAAGGGATGCTGGGGTTTGTAGTTTTAAAGTTTCGTTTTTCAGGTTTTTGCTTATTTTTTTTTAACCAGTTTACGTATCTCCAATTAGTTTTGAGTAACATAAAGAAAAATATAAAATAAAAATGAAAATTAAACATTGAAAACAACAGCAATAATAATTTATTAATCATGTATTTTAAAAATTATCCAGAAAAAACACTTGTATTCCAAACTAATGTTGATGAATATGTTGAAAAAAATGCTAAAAACAAACAACATACATTTTTTATTTTATATCATGATTGTTCTCTGAATACATCACTTTTTGTTGCATTTTTCTGGTCTGTTTTTAAAACATTACTAATAGTATTTACTACTATAGTATTTTACTTTGGTTTTGTTCATTACCTGCAGTCAATGTTATATAGTATATTATACTTTATGTTGTGCACAAACTATTTTTAATGGCAACATTTATGGAAAAACAAAATAAACAAAAGCAGCTTTTAAATAATTATTTTGAAATTTTAGTTTTCTAGAAAAGCATTTCATAAAACACATTTGTGAAGACAAATGTTTTTGCTAATTTTTAGCACAAAAAAGTGTAAAACCGGGAAGTTCAAATAAGTTTCTACAAAATACTTAAAAAAACAAGAAATATTTTTATCAAATAAAAGCAAATACAAATAAACAAAACTATAAATCGTGTTGATCTGCTGCTAGTTTGTGATGTTAAAATGCCTAAATAAATCTTTTCTGCTTTGTTTTAACATTTAGGAAAATAATTCAGAAATGTAAACAGTTAATATTGTTGTTGTTTTTATTGTTTCTCAGCTCCAAGCTGAGGTAAACGAGCAGGAACTTCTTCCTGTTGTTGTTTAAACTCTGTAAAATGATTTGGAAGTTGAGCCCAGAGCTTCTTTTCTTCTCTCCTTTAAGAAACGCCTGAAGATGCTTCATGAAGGAGAGGAAACGTTGTTTACCCAGAATTCTTTGCAGCTCGTACGGCCGGATCAGTCAGGATTGATGTGAATAAATCTGAGGTCAGGACTGTTAGATTTTGTCTGTTTTAGATTTTGAGAAATAAAATAATTTGAACATTTTAGTTTCTTAACTTCAAATGTTTTTGTAAAAGGGCAGCACGGTGTCGCAGCGGTGAAGGCTGTTGCCTGCCTGTCAGCAAGAAGGTCACAAGTTCTCCTCCTGGCCTTTCTGTGTAGCACCTGTGGGTTTTCTCCAGGTGCTTCTTGCGCAGATCAGAAACATGCATGGCAGGTTAATGAAGGCGCCTAGATGTGAGAGAATGAATGTTTGTCTATGTATCCCTATGATGGACAGGAGACCTGTCCAGGTGTCCAGTGACTGCTGGACATGGACACCAGTGACCCACAAAGGAAAGACAATGGATGGTTTATGTGATATTCTGCTAACAGACAGGCACAGCCGATGTGATTACACGATCACATGTCTTCAGGGCAGCAGGTGAAACACACCATCCTGTCATCAATTAACAGCGTTTGTTAATTTATCTCTTCTCACCAATGCTCAATAATCCAGGTAAAAATCCAGCAATGTTCAGTCAGGTCATCTGGATGGTTTCTTTTTTTGCTGAGACAATTCGTCCTTCATCCAAAGGACTTATTCAATCTGAGGAGCCACCAAACAAAACTGATTCCCACGAACATCATACTCCTCACTGTGTGAAAAAAAAAAAAAAGTTTGCCGATGCTAAGATGGCCTCCGGGCCCGCCCTCTCCCCGGTCAGCTCCTCTGAGACAGTCAGGACAAAGTGGTTCAAAACACCAAAGAAGAAGTCCTTTGGATGAAAAATGAAACGTCTCAGCAAAAACAAAAAAGAAAGCGTCCAGATGACTTCACTGAATGTTGGATTTGGACGTATTTAACTGAAACGGCCAGAAAGTGCTCACAGGATGAACATCTGCATCTGACTGACTTTTAGAGTCGACCTCATTCAAGATGGCCGTCACAAACACACAAATGTCTTCAATTCAGGATAAGCATGGGTGTAGCTGAGAGTCATCGTCAACAGACTGAGGGCCGATGGATCTCAGTATGAATCTTAAATGAAGTTCAAGTTTTGCCCAAACCGCCTCCAACTTTTGTCACTTTCTCACAAAAGGTCATCTTCATCTAAAACTGTGGCCTGAGGGGTGGCGGGTGATGTGCATTCCTCCAAACGACGACCGTTCCTTCCGTTGAGCAGCTTTCCTCTTCCTCCGAGCTGACATTTTGTTGAACAATCCAACATTTATCTTTATTCAAATCATCTCAGCAGAAAACGTGACAGAAACTTCTGAGCTCTTCGGACGAACTTCCTTCTCCGCAAACAGTTTTTGCATCTGTTCAGCATCAGATTTCAGAGCTTTACCGAGTTTGGAGGGGAAAGTTTTCCTGCCTAAGCCGTGTCTGAGCTCCGATGAGTGGTTTGGCAGGAGGCGGACAGGCAGAAAGAGGATCAAAAAGTTCAGCTCCTGCTCCTGACCTGCATTTGTTCTGCCTGTCAGAGTCGCCTGCCATTGGCTGCAGCTCGGAGGAACAGATTTGCATGTCTCCACAATGGCTGCTCCGCTCCTTCCTCTTTGTGAATTTAAAGCAGACAAACTTAAAGCTGAGGGCTTTCATTAGCGTGCACGTGGCAGCCGTGCACTCCCGCCACACAAATTAAACTGTGCCACTTTGTTGAACACAAACCTTAATTCATATCTGCAGCTTCATCTGTGCAGCCGGCAGGAAAAGTTTTTACATAATTTATTTAAGTCAAACGGAGACAAAAATCTGACTGTCTTTACGCCTTTATGGACACAGTCCTGAAGCAAATTCATTCATTAGGATTTTTATTATTTTATTATTTATTTAGCTAAAATATGTTTTTTTTTTTAAAGTATGACAATTTATTTATTTAAAATTTGAATAAAAAGCATTAATTAAGTTGTAATACTTTACAAATAACTTATAAAACACATTATACATAGAAAATATAATAAATAAAATATTAATAATATACAAATTTAAAGACAAATGTGCTACAAAAACTTTTACTGAAAATAAAAGCAATCTTAAAATGTACAAATGTAATAAATAAAGTTGCTTTGAGGATCTCAAATTTGTTTGTTACATTATTTTATATTTTCATAGATGTATTATTTTATATTTTATTTAAACAAATAATAAAATAATAATAGAAATATAAATAAACATTTAAAAGCAATGTGCATGCAACAAAAGGCTTTATATTTTAAAACCATCCTAGAAAAAAAAAATAAATAAAACATTTAAAAAGCGATGTAATAATAGAAATAACTACTTATTTAAAAGCACAAAGCTCTAAATAAATATAAATATAAAATGTGTGATTTTATGTTTTTTTTTTTTGGGTCATAATCTTGACTTTTGGGTTATTTTTTTGTTTTCTAATTTATTTATTTATTTATTTTACAGATTTAACGTATGTGAATTATGAATTTTTTACTCTTAAACTGAAACCAACAAAAATGTGCACCATTTTAAATGAATTAATTAGAATAAAATGAAATTTTAACCCTTTAATGATCAAACAGCTGCATGTAGAAACAATTAGATTCTTTTCGCAACAAATGTTTGAATCCAACACATTTTTCCTGAGATGTTTGTTAAAATGAATAAACATTTTTGTCTCTAATGATGATCAGATAATTTGCCCCTAAAAAGTAACGGTGAAAAGACAAAAACACAGAAAAGAAGTTTGATCTCCTCCGTCAGTCTTTTATTCCGTGTTGTTTTTCTTCTACATATTTATGAATCAGAGTTTCAGCTGAAACAAATCACAGGATTAAAAATGCCGATTTATTCTGACGTTCGACTTTAATATAATCTCGTATATTTCAACACTTTGAGCTAACAACATGTTTTCATACGTCTGTTTAGTTTTTCCACCAGTGAACTAAAACACGACTAAAAAAGAGAAAATGTTCATTTTTTCCTCCCGGTTCTCGTTCTTTGGGTCGTTTTCAAATCAATAAATAAAATATCTTAGATAATATTACGGTATGAAATAATCTGTACTTGTTTCTGCAGCGGTTTATTTTTCATCTATGAAGTTTATTTTTATTCAAACTCTCACAAAGTGTAAAAACGATAAACACAGTTCATTAAACACGTAGTCTGGAATTTTAAGGAAAATTATTTCTAAGGAATTAACACAAATTTACAGATGTTTATTTACATGACTGCACACTAAGTTCATGTGATCTTTAATTATTGTTATTTATTATATTTTTTGTAAATAAGGAGCATTTATTTATTATTTATTACACTTTATTTAACCAACCAAATCCCTCACAGATTTTTCTTTCAGGGTCCTCCTGGGCCTGAAGGCAGCCTAACATGCATGCTTTTTAAAAAGCCACGCAAACACGAGGAGAACATGCAAACTGCACACAGAGGGGCCACAGGTCCAAGCCGGGGATTGAACCAGGAACCTTTTTGCTGTGAGGCAACAGTGCTGACCACTGAGCTGCCCAATACAATATGAATTATTATAATGATGATCTGAATGAACAGCGTCTGTTATGGCATTTAACAAATTAAGTTATAATGAAACAATAACTTATTTTTCTTTAAGTGTTATTATTTGAAATAAAAAGTTAGATAAATGAATTTGAATCATGATCCTTTGACTTTGATGACAAGTTAATTTTTTTCCCCAGGGTTTTTATTTCTAATCACGTCAGATCTGGATTATTCTGCTCTCTTTTAGAAACATTTATTAATTGTAATGGAGTAAAATATTAATGAAATGAAGCGTTTGCTGGGTTTTAAAACATTCGACAGACTCGTCTCTGCATAAAGACGGCTGTTTTAAACTTTGAGTTATCTCTTAAAAAAAAAAAAAGGGCAAAATCAGTTTATTAATGTGGAAATGTTCACTGAAATTCTTTAAAGCTTTAAAACTGGGAGCAAAACTGTTAATTAAAAAAAAAAAAAAGTCC